GTTTTATCATCTGCTGTCTTGGTTCTTTATGTTTCATTGGGTTTTTTTAATGGTTAGGCTGTTTTTTAAATTTTTTAAGTATGATTTCTATAGTCAGCTACCTGGAGCTCCCAGAATGGAAGGAGATTATACATGTATAGTGGGAGGATACAAGAAGTAAGAGAGGTTGGCATGGGTTGTAGAGAGGGAGGGTAGTGGCCCAAGGTGAGACAAGGAGGGAAGGGGAAGTGAGAGATGCATTCAGTGGAGTGCAAGAAACAAGGGAGGGGATATGGTGTAGGTGCAAGGTGGGCTTCTTATGGTATTTTCATGGATTTGTACTTTTTTGCCATCAGTAAAGAAAATGATGACACAAAGAGAGAGCAATTGCTCTGATGAGAACACACTATCACTTGAAGTGCCTGCATATGATAAAAGGTGGCGGTTGTTATTAGTTAGGGGAGAAGCAGACAGGTGGCACGGGGCCGCCCCGGGAAGCTGCAGATTGGGGCTGAGGTATCTGCACTCCTCGGCCTGCGGCACAGTGTCCCAGGCCCAGGAAGGAGTGCTAAAATAATGCTCCTTCCGCAAGACGCCGAAGGTGCGCCGCAAAAGGCCTCCGGCGCACCTTCGGCGCCTCTTCCGCTGCAGCGTGTGTGGACACTGCAGCGGAAGTGCGTCGTCAGAGCGCCGGCTGTGCGGAGGGCCGGCTGCTCCAATAATGTTTTCGGGAAGGGGTTGGGGCGCCCAGCTTGAGGCTGCCCCTCCCCTTCCTGGCCTCGAAAACGGCGCTTTGAGCCGTCTGCTCAGGCCCTTAGTTATCACACCAGGATACACTACTATCTGTTGCTGTTTTGTGCCTTCAAGTTGGTGACTCTAAGGCTTTCTTATCATGAGGTTTTCTTGGCAAGGTTCTTCAGAGGGGTTTGCATTGCCATCCTCTGAGGCTGAGAGTCTGTGACTTGACTAAGGTCATCCAGTGGGTTTACATGGCTGAGCTGGGTTTTGAACCCTGATCTCCAGAGCTGTAGTCCAATGCTCAAACCACTACACCATGCTGGCTCTCTATTTACATGGTCCCATTTTAATACTAATCACTAATCACCCCTGTAAGGTAGATTTGCTGAGAGACAGTGGTAGCCCAAAATCCCTTTGTGAATCTATGAACAAATGAGGATTGAATGTATGTCTCTCTGTTCCAAGTCCAGCACTACAAGTGTTACTTGGAGTTTATCACATTACAAATAAAAGTGACTTACCTCTCCTGTCTTAGAGTTGATTGCAGGATGTAGCAGGGAATTATCACATGGAAAATGCCACCAGTGCTGCTGTCCAACTGCATCCTGCCTGAAACCCAGCTATAAGCTGTGCTCAGCTGGCTGATTTGCAAAGTCAGGAGCTTTCCAACTTTGCAAATCAGCCAGCTGAGTGCGATATGTAGTTGGGTTTTAGGAAGGATGCAGTTGAGCGGCTGGATCAACGGCATTTTCCATGTAAAAATTCCCAGCTACATCCCTCAATTGACTCTAACCCGGGAGAGGTAAGTTGCTTTTATTTGTAATGTGATAAACTCCTTGATTTGTTTTCTCAGAAGATACACACACACACACACACACACACACACACACACACACACACATTGTACAAGGCTCAAAAAATAGTTGTAAACACAATTGCAGTGATGAATGTGTTCAATTTGTGTAACTGAAAAGCAAATTATTAATAAGAATATGATTTATTTCTAGCCCATCTATATCCAAAAGGAATCAAAGCGGGTTACAACATAAAAATAAAAGAATACAATATAAAAACAAATAAAAATTACATAAAAAGCACTCCCCTTCCCAACCCCCAAATCCCAACATTAACCAAACAATTAAAATATAAAATAAAGTACAAGATGGTCCCAATAAAGTTGGCTAAAATGTTAGCTAAAATTTGCAGAAGAACATAGGGCGAAAATAGTTATGATCACAGGGTAGAGGGGTTGTTGTGTTTGTGTACACGGGGGGGGGGGGTATGCATAATTATGACTTTGCATAACATGTAAACTATTTACTCAGATTTGAGGGGCTGGAATAAGGTAAACATAGTACTTTGCCTCTACAACTGTTAAACTTAGAGGACAGTGCCAAGGTGAAGAATAATGGTCTATCTCAGCCTGTGTTCTTCCAAATCCTGGCTACATATAGCAGTCACTGGACGTTTTCACACTTGGGGTCTCAAAGCCGCCTGGAAGCAATCAAGAGCCATTCCAGAATGGATCCTGCAACTTCAGACCTGTGAAAGCAGCATCATTCCGGAATGGCTCTTGATTGCTTCCGGCAGCGGCAACTCAATTCCTTTTTAAAAAAGGAATTGAAAAGAAAGGGGATGATGCAGAAATGCGCCAGGGATGGCACTGGATGGGGCGGGGCAGGGCTTGCTGCGACGTCGTGTGAACACACGGAGCAAGGACCCGGACTGACGCAGGATTGCGCCGGGGATGGCATTGGATGGGGCGGGGCTTGCTGCGACGTCGTGTGAAAACTTTGCAAAGGAGCCGGACTGGGGCCGGACGGAGGTAGGATTACGTCTGCCTTAAGCCCCGTGTGAAAACGTCCACTGTCTCTGCAACATGTGGCAGCTACAGAGAGGTCTGGCTATCCGATCTAGTTGTACAACAGAGGATGACAAAATGCAGGCCCTCTAGAATTTTTTAGTTTATTTAATTATTTTATTGTTTTAAAGTGTGTAACTTGTTTTAATGCTTTTTGTAAACTATCCTGAGATCTTTGATAGTGGATGGGGTATAGTTTAATTAATAAATAAAATGCCCTCTAGAATGTATGCAGGCCATTTCTACCAAATTTTCAGGCACCTTGGGCCCCAAAGGGATTAAAAACAACTTTTGCAATTTTTTGCTAAACAATTTTAGAAATGCTCGAAAATGTTCACTGGTGAAAAAGTCCCTAGAGGTGTCTGGGAGCAAAAAATGTCCGGTCTCTCCCCGCCCCCCATTTTTAAAAATTGAAAAAAGTATAATTTAACAAAATTCAACAGAACAAAATGAAATTTACAGATTCAGCATTCCTTAAAAAAACATATAATAAATGTGTGTGTGTGTATAGTTTCTTTTTGTACCCTTCAAGTTAACATATCATTCCAAAGACCAAAATGAGAATCAGGCAAATCTAGATTACCTTCTACTTTATTTTTATTTATTTATTTTGCAAGAGAAGAGGCAACCCCTAGGGGCGCTAATGTAGCTCTTTAGCCTTTTACAGCTGCCCACTGCTGCCATAAATCATGGGTGGCCTTAGTGCAGCCATGGTCTGTAGATGGCCTAAGGCCTTTATCTGTGGCAACCACCTATCTTATTATTTGTTGTTGCTGTTGTTGTATGCACCTTCATTTCTGATTTATGGCAACCCTAAGGCAAATCTATCATGAGGTTTTCTTGGGAAGATTTGTTCAGAGGAGTTTGCTTTTGCCTTCCTGTGAGGCTGTGAGAGTGTGACTTGCCCAAGGATACCCAGTGGGCTTCCATGGCTGAGCAGGGATTTAAACCCTGGTCTCCAGAGTCACAGCACAATGCTCAGAACACTACACCATGCTGGCTTGTGCTTATTTTCCCCTCCCCCCCAACAGAAAAAAACCCTGCAAAAATTGTGATTTACTGCTCTTGGTGTGTGTCTGCACATGTGCCTTCAAACTGTATGCTGACTTATGGTGACTCCCTGAATTTCATAGCATTTTCTTAGGCAAGGAATACTCAGAGGTGGTTTTGCCAGTTCCTTCCCCTGAAGTATAACCTACATCATCTGGTATTCATTGGTTGTTTCCCATCCAAGTGTTAACCAGGACTAACTCTGCATAGTTTCCCAAATCACACAGGATCTGGTGCCTTTAGGGGATTTAGGCAGTATACACACCAGTCCTTGAGGACTCCATAAATGGTGGCTTTGACCTTGCAGAACTTGCCTCCCCAAGGGTGAAGTGCCCAATCAAAACAACTCAAATCAGAAGTGCACATCGGCATATCAGAATAGTCCAAGTGATGTCCAAAGACTGAAGAAGGCATGGGGGAAAGGCATGTCAGGGAACAGAATCCAGCAGAAAGATGATGGATTCTGAGAGAGGGGCCTGAACCAGAAACTCTGATTTATTTATTTCATTTTATTTATATGTCACCTTTCTCTTGAAGTAGGACCCAAGGCCTTCAGAAGGAAATCAATTAAAATCTACCCATGAGATTTTAAAAACAATTAAAACCATCAGAAATAAAATAATATAAAATTATTTTAAATTTACAACATAAAATAGTTAAAAAATAAATACTCCCCCCTAAAGCCTCCCTGGAACAGTTATATATTAAAATCCTCCTTACACTAACAGGTTTTTGTCTGCTGTCGAATGGAAAGCAGGGAGGGGGCCAAACTTAGCCTCCCATGGAAGGCAGTTCCAGAGATTAGGAGCAGCCACCAAGAAGGCTATGTCTTATGTCATCCCCAAGTGAGCATGTGATGGTGGTGGGACCAAGTGAAAACCTTCTCCTGAAGATCTTAAGAGTTCTTGCAGGTTAGTATGGGGAGATATGGTATTTATTGTTTCTGCAGCCTTGCCACATGCCCAGTTAGTGTGCAAAGGAGGAGGGTTGTGTATCTTAACTTGTTTATCCTCCATGTCCATTTAAGAGAAAGACTGTGAGAAGAAAGAGCATGGACCTTGTAGTTTCTCTGTTAACAGGTAGTCCTGGGCAGCAGTGTGAGCCGGCAAAATGGTCTATAATTTTACCACTATGTATCATATTTAATTGCTGTTCTTTTTAGATTCCCCACCAATTCATGTATTCTAGATTCTAAGATTCTAGATTCTACAATTCTAAATTTACCACAAATTCACTTGTGTAAACAGATATCATATTTTCTCTTCCCTCTCTCTTTTTGTGTGTGATGAATTTCCTCTTTCTTTGGTGATGTGCATCATAGTTTGGAAGACAGCTCCAGACTTCAGGATTTGTAATTCCCATATATACTCGACCATAAGTCAAAAAATGTATGCTCAAAAAATGATCCTAAAATCCGGGGTCAACTTTGTACAGGGCAATACAATTACCATGGGTCCAGATCGGCTGGAGGGCAGTTAATAACAACAAATAGTAATAGTGTTTGTAAAGGTCCTTAAAAAAGCCGTTCTGATGCCTCTGTGCCAAGGCAGTGATTTCTGAAAGAGCTCCCAAGACAGAAGTGTGTGTGTGTATGTGTTGTGATCCCCTTCTCAATCTGATGTTAAAACCTCCTCTCCCCATCCTCCTCTTCCTCTTCCTCATCTCTATGATCACCAAACACCCTATTTCCCCCCACTTTCTTCACTTCCCAATCCGTTAAAATCTTTCCCCCTCCTCCTCCTCCTTGTCCTTGGATTTACCTGACTACCAAACACCCCATTTCCCTCCACTTCCCAATCGAATGTTAAAACCTTTCCTCCTCCTCCTCCTCCTCCTCCTCCAGATTTCTCTGACCACCAACCCCCCCCATTTCACTTCTTTCCTTCTCAATCTGATGTTAAACCTTCTCCTCCCCTAAGTTTTACCCTCAATTTATCCACAGGACATATCAAAATCCATGATTTTGGACCTAAAACCTTCCCTTGACTCATACATGAGGTCAATTTGTACTCGAGTATATACAGTAGCCACTTTGACCAGGTCCCAATTCACACTACACAATTATATCATTATGATTCCACTTTAACTGCCATGAATCTGTTTGATGGAATCCTGGATTGGGAGTATAGGGTGGGGTGTTTATAATCCTCAGCCAGAGAGCTCACTAAACTATTAGCCCCAAGAATACATAGGATGGAACCTAGAAAGTTAAAACGGAATAATGGCTCTGTAACTGCATTGTGTGACTGGGCCCAAGCTCTCCATAATAGTAGTAGCTCACTTGTCTAAACATACCCATGACCTAGGGAGGCTGCAGAGGGGTGGCTCTAGGCTGCCCCAGGAAGCAGAGGATCGGGGCCGTGGCTGCCGCACACCACAGCCCCAATCCTCCCTTTAGTCACCCCAAAAAGAG